ACAACAATTACAGCAACATTTTGTGGTTCTGGCTGATCAGTGTTATAGTATAAATCAAAGCAAAGCTAAACATGTTAACATTTAAGTAATAATTGTTTTTAACCAACAAAAGGGGATAAAGTTAACAAATATTGAAAGTGAAGTGAGGCCTTCTACGGAATTGACATCATCTCACTGGGCCTCTCATTTTACCGTTACTGATGACACAAACATGTTATGTATTTCTTCGATGCTGGGTTCTTCGAGGGTTTGTGGGAGGACAAGTTCTCAGATTAATTTATTCGCCATTTGCAGTAACACTACATTGGAATACATTAGTAAAAGTTCCCAGTGTGCACAGGACAAGTACAGACATAAAACAACATTAAAAGACAAAAATAAAACAAATTTTAAAAACGGTAAACAAATGTCACTGTGAAGTTGACCAACTAAAACAGATCTGTACAAGTGCAAAAACATTAAAGTGCTCTAGTGTCCTTAGTTCTGTGGTTGTAACCTTGTGCATGACATCACTGAATTATGAAACCTCTTCTTACTTCCTTATTACTGCCATTTATCGAGCCCTCCGTCCCATTCTTCACATACAGTGTCTCATTTGTCTGGTCTAGACTTGTCCAGTGATCCGTGCTGGCTCTAAGCTGATGGGAGTTTCCCTTGTGTTGCAGCTTTTTCTTCAAACAATGAGTGCTTCAGACCAAATATTCTTCCCAAATCCCAAATACACCTTTTCCTTCCAAACTTAGCCATCCCCACATGGTTCTGTCTCTGGGTTAGCTCCAGAGACAGGCTCGGTCTTGTCATATCTGTGTGTTTACGTGTGTATCTGGATGGTTGATGTAATTCAGAATCATGTTTTATTGCTGCGTGAGTAACAGGAAGTGGCAGCTCTCGGTGAAAAAACAAGTCAAAGATAGAGAAGTAGAAAATAGAGTAAGGCATAGTAAGAAACGACATACATTTACGACAAAAAAATATAATATTCAAACTAAAATGTGGATTGAGAATGGTTTTTACACTACTCCCAGAACAGTTAATTCAGCCTATGTACATTTTCCTTCTATATGTAGTTATTTCTAGGTAATTACTTTCATTAAAAAATATCTTAATTTTGAAATGTGAGTAGTTCTACCTTTTTTTTTTTTTAGCTTCATTCACAACCATAGCCCCCCTTTTCCAAGTGCGAGTTCTGGACTGGTTCTGGTTCTGACCTCAGCTTGTTTTTTCACTAGAGTAGAGCTAGTTCTGGTTACCACGGCAACACACATGATTACTTGTATAATTTGGGGCGACAGTGGCTCAGTGTGTAGAGCATTGGCCTTTGAGCATGAAGGTTGTGGGTTCAAGCCCACCTCAAGACTTTCTCCACCGACTCTCACTGATGTCTGTTGTTGTTGTGTCCTTGGGCAAGACACTTGACCTCTGGGTGCCACAGTGGGGCGACTGCGGCTTTAATGTGCCAAACTGTGGTTGTGTCCTTAGGCAAGACTTCACCTACATTAGTAGATGTCTGGTGTGTGTGTGTGAATGGTTGGTGGTGGTGGGAGGGGCTTCTGTCAGTGTGCCCCAGGGCAGCTGTGGCTATAGTAGTAGTTTATCACCACCGTGTTTGGAGAGAAAGAATTATGAAGTGAAGAGACTTTGAGAGTCCAGAAAAGCGCTGTATAAAACTGATTTATTATTATTATTATTAGCATTTAGCTTCTTTCAACAAACCTTTGTTTTGCTGTATTTCAAGTTTTTTTTCACCAGTTTTAGCATCTTTTATCCCCCCAAATACATACTGTTAATAAATTCTGGTGAAAATCTAACATCTTTGAGGAGGATTTATCAAAATTCCAATGGTTTAAATGGGAGCAGTAAAAATTGACGGCTCTGGGAGTTCTCGTCGTTCTATTGTCGATGCTGCTTCTTTCCTTGTTTTTCAAATGTAAACTCTCAAGATTTCTACATTTTCAGCAGATTTTGGCAGAAACGACCCTAACCGAGGCTTTTCATATATCACCTTTTTACAGTTTAACAGCAGAAAACACATTGCATTTCCAAATATTTTCGTTTTTCCAACCAACCGTGGCATGCATAACGAGTCTCACTTGTATCCTGTGTTATAAACGTCCGACAGGTTGTGCGGTTGCAATGTTGTGTGTATATTGCTGCTCCACTGAGATAGCGACGCATTCTGCCGATCCGTGCCATGCCGACAAGGACCAGGAAACATTCCCAACTTGACTTTACCCACCGGTCAATTTGAATGCCAACTTTTAGCTTGTGCTTCCTTCTTGCGCAGCTCCAGCTTGTCCCTGGATGGTTTCTAACAATAAAAGTCAGACATCCTGTAGAGAGTAATCGTGACAAACAGGGCAGACACCCTTGCTCTGCTTTCTTCCGGCTTTTATTAGGCATTTTAATGACTAGCAGCGAAACACTACAGCATTTGTTAACCATTATTACAGATATTTGTGGCATAGCATCAACAGATGTAGTTTGAACTGAAGAAACATGTATGTATGTTGATGGTGGGTTAATTCACTGGTGTTTATGTGACTAGGCCTTTGAACTGTGGCTACGTACAGTTAGGCCTACGCATTTTGGGAAGTAGTGTTTATTGCTTTGAAAGTCCACAGTGGTTGTTAAACTGCGAAGGAATTTCAGCCGTTTCTCTGTGTGCAACCCACTTTTTGAAGAGGCTAAAGTTATTAACTCCTTGTCTGCCATTGACATCTTTTTGTCATAGACTGGGACTTCATTCAGACTTGACTTGACTTGACTTGACTGGGCATTACAGGAGAACGAAAGAAGCTATAGAATTTATTACTTATTTTGATGATAAAAGTCAGTCCAGTCTTTTAGAATCTAGTTTCAGATTTCACTTAGTTATAGTACACAATATTCTGTGGGTCTTAAAAATCTGTGAAAATCCTCTGAAATGGCAGTCAATGAGTTAAATAATCGTCCATTCGGCAGATTCATAGCAATGTGTTCTCATATTCTACAAAGACAATGTTGAGATTTGAATTGTTCTTCTTACATTTGGAATGTTTTATCGTCAACTCGTATGTTCTGCCAGAAAGGTATATATGAGCTAAAAAAACACCTGATCCGTCAGAAAGACAGTGCACAGAGGATCTTAGAAACTTAGCCAGATTTGTGAGTAGCAACTAAAATATTAAGAGTCTGCCTGGGAACAGAAGACACCTGAATGCCTCACTCACTCGGGCTCATTACATACGTCACAGTAAACTCAGATCCAATTGTTTCAATCTGCAAAAGGAGTTAACCCCTCCCACCTGTTCACGGAGTCAATGGAGCAGATCCAGACCTTAGTACTAATGAAATGAGTACAGTGGTGTGGTACGACCGGGCTAATGTAGAGTTGTAACCCACAGATTTTCAGACAGAAATTGTTAGTGTGACACGAGTAATTCTAGCGTTCTTCTTTATGTTGTGAGACTAAACATATTAAAGATGAAGCCGAGGTAATGGTTTGACAGTGGAACGTTGTAACCTGCTTTAGCACAGAGTGATCCGGTTATTCTGTTCCTTAAAAAAGTGCTTCAACAAGTTGCTTTGCGTTGGAGAAAAGCGCACGGCTACGAGCGCCAAGTGTCTTAAACACATGACAAGAGCAATTTAGCATGATCTTAGACTTGGCACTCTCCGGGGGCGAAACAGGGTGTGAGCCCACACTTGAATTAACGGCTAACGGAGATTAATTTAATACTTGGGAGTTTTTTAATGCCTCACACTTTCAAGTCTACAGCGATTTATTGGATCTGGCTGCCAGCATCTATAAAAATCACATTTTAAGACGTTAAAACAAATATATTTTCTTGGCCTATATAATTATCTTGCACACTCACATGCCAGGCCCTCTCTCATTGGCCTCGGATAAATATTGGATCGAAGATGGCACAGACGGATGGCACAGGAAGACATGATTCTGTCAACTTGGTTCTATTCACGGTGAAGACACCCAGTTTTAGGTTCATTATTTTAAAGGGTCTTAAACACCTTCTTTGGACACTTTTTCCTAATCACGTTTGCATAGAATTATGAACATACCAGAGTGCGGATCCCATATATATATATATATATATATATTACTCCATATTTTACAGATAGATGTTGCAGAAATGTATTAAAAGAGATGTTTGTGGCTGAAATACATTTGAACTAGATTTACAGCAGATGGTCAGAACCAGATGCTTCTCTTGAGAGACATCCACTAAAAGAAGGCAGAAGGTTTCATTGATGACCCAAGATTAATTTCCATAAAGTGACTCAAGGCAGGACAGTGCCAGACTAACAAGAGGATGTTGTTGGACCTTTGTAATTATAGAACATGATGATTAGTGCTAGCAACAGACTCATTCATTAAAAATCATGTATGGGAGATGTCTTCGCTCTTATACATTCTGGAGTTAAACAAAATGGTTGACCTAAGTTCTGCGACAGTCCAGGTCAGTCCAGTTATTATTAAAATCATTGCAGTTCATTTTAATTGTAAGTAAGTAAGTCATGTTTATTTATATAGCGCATTTTACAGACCCAGGTACAGACTCAAAGCACTTTCCAATGTTCAGAGTCAGATATTGTTCCAATCCTTCCACACACGGTGATGACAGAAGCGAGTCCAGAACACACTGGACCATCAGCTCCAACACCATCCATTCACTCTCTCATTTACATTCAGACCTATTGTGCATGTTCTTAGTGGTAGGGGAAACCGGAGCACCCGGAGGAAACCTACACAGACACGGGGAGAACATGCAAACTCCACTCAGAAACGCCCTGTTCCAACCGGGATTCGAACCCAGGACCTTCTTGCTGAGAAACGAGAGTGCTATCCAGCCACCATGCCACCCGTTGAATAATGTTATCATAAAAATGTAATTGTTCCTGTACAGACTAGGCCCAAACCATAAAAGAGGATATTTAATGACACTGAATTTTATAACAAGATACAGACAGACAAAACAGAAAATATCATACCCCAAGGAGAGATGGTTAGAGAGACAGAGAGAGAACCCTGGAGGCCAGCCCCAAGCCAGCCCCAAGCCATCCCCAAGCCATCCCCAAGCCAGCCCCAAGCCAGCCCCAAGCCAGCCCCAAGCCAGCCCCAAGCCAGCCCCAAGCCATCCCCAAGCCATCCCCAAGCCATCCCCAAGCCATCCCCAAGCCATCCCCAAGCCATCCCCAAGCCATCCCCAAGCCATCCCCAAGCCATCCCCAAGCCATCCCCAAGCCACATCCCCAAGCCATCCCCAAGCCATCCCCAAGCCATCCCCAAGCCATCCCCAAGCCATCCCCAAGCCATCCCCAAGCCATCCCCAAGCCATCCCCAAGCCATCCCCAAGCCATCCCCAAGCCATCCCCAAGCCATCCCCAAGCCATCCCCAAGCCATCCCAAGCCATCCCCAAGCCATCCCCAAGCCATCCCCAAGCCATCCCCAAGCCATCCCCAAGCCATCCCCAAGCCATCCCCAAGCCATCCCCAAGCCATCCCCAAGCCATCCCCAAGCCATCCCCAAGCCATCCCCAAGCCATCCCCAAGCCATCCCCAAGCCATCCCCAAGCCATCCCCAAGCCATCCCCAAGCCATCCCCAAGCCATCCCCAAGCCATCCCCAAGCCATCCCCAAGCCATCCCCAAGCCATCCCCAAGCCATCCCCAAGCCATCCCCCATCCCAAGCCATCCCCAAGCCATCCCCAAGCCAGCCCCAAGCCAGCCCCTGGACATCAGATAAGGGGGAAAATCCATACCAACAAAACCAAATTGAAGACCAAATCCAAATGTCTTTAAGTATTCCTATATATTCCCTAATCTTGCTTTGTGGGAAATAGCTTGGATCCGTCCTTTATGCAGGAGTCTGTTTGACTGGTAGGGGTAGAACAAACAAGATCAAGGACAACATTCATGGACATTGGTGTTGGTCCAAAAGGAGAGACCAATGTGTTTGAAGTCATTATTTGATCTGTTGTTGGCAATTTCAACAGTTTGGCTAAGTCCTCTGAGCTACTGTTGTGATTTAGGCCGATACAAGAATAACATTGAATTGAGTTGAATCTCACATTGTACAGATGTATTTTTAAAGATTTTTTTTATTTATTGAGCTGGATTTGGATTATAATTTCTTGTTTGTTCATGATTGTGTTTTGACATATAATGGGATTAAAAAGCCCAGAATGACAGAAGAGGTATCGCTGAGCTCCGTGTGTGTTTTTACCCCCTGTAGATAAAGCCGTGGTGTAAACAATGCAGACGAAAACATTATCGTTCCTCGGAAAAGAACACCTCCCGTTTGGGTTTGGGTTTTCCATGATCTGGCTTCACCGTCCACATCCTGCAGGCCTGTCCAAACTGAGGCCCGTGAGCCAAATGCGGCCCACTTTTTCATTTTGTGTGGCCCTCTGTCTTGCTAAAATTATCCATTGAGGTTCTTTCACAGAGTCATCCAGCCAACTTCAGCTCCACCAATAGAGTCATGCGGCACCTCGTTGTAAAGCTCTGAACCTTTGGAATTCAGCCGTTCACTTTATTTTCTATAATCTGTCATCAGTTGGTAGAGCATTGGCCTTTGAGCCTGAAGGTTGTCGGTTTGAGTCCACCACAAGACATTCTCCCACTGGCTTCCACTGATGTCTGCTGTTGTTGTGTCCTTATGCAAGACACTTCACCCACATTAGAATGAGTCTGGTGTGTGTGTGAATGGTTGGTGGTGGTGGGAGGGGCTGATGGCACAGACTGGTTGCCTCGCTTCTGTCAGTGTGCCCCAGGGCAGCTGTGGCTACAGTAGTAGTTTATCACCACCGTGTTTGGAGAGAGAGATTAATGATGAAGAGACTTTGAGTGTCCAAAAAAGTGCTGTATAAAACCAATGCATTATTATTATTTTTTTATTATTATATTATATCAAGCCTGAAAACAATGAGTAGCCGTGTATTATACACTTAATCGGTTAAAGAATCTCATTGGACGATTGAGAAGAAGGAGGCGGAGACAGCGACTTCATGAAGCTGAAGGAAAACAGGAAAACTGAAGCCAACAAGAAATGTATGTAAATGTATATGCAAATAACAAGAAACATTTCACAATCGCTACTTCTTTAGTAAACATATTTTGTTTCATTTGTAAATCCGTTTCCTCATAACCTTTTGGGCGTTCCTCCTTTGTTTCTAATATGTTCTTTTTGTACTGGCTCGGTCTGTTCAGGAAAAACATGTAGATCTGTTCTGGCAGACGATCTTCAGCAGAGCGTGTCAAATCAATTCTGTGAAGATGCACACACACATATTCATAGACAACACACACACACATATTCATAGACAACACACACACACGTACACAACACACACACACACACACACATATTCATACACAACACATACACACACACATTCATAGACAACACACACACACGTACACAACACACACACACACACTTATTTATACACACACACACATATTCATACACAACACATACACACACACATTCAAAGACAACACACACATACACACACGTACACAACACACACACACACATATTTATACACACACACACATATTTATACACAACACACACACATATTCATACACAACACATACACACACACACATTCATAGACAACACACACATACACGTACACAACACACACACACACACACACATATTCATACACAACACACACATATTCATACACAACACACACATATTCATACACAACACACACACACATATTCATACACAACACATACACACATACACATATTCATACACAACACACCCACACACACACACATTCATACACAACACACACACACACACATATTCATACACAACACACACACACACATATTCATACACAACACACACACACATATTTATATACAACACACAACTAATTAGTATAAATTATAAATATATACTAATTCATAATACAGTATATAAATTATAAAATACTTATTTAATTTGAGCCAGAGTCGTCTTTTGGCTTCGTCCTTGTTGCGCTTCACAGAACTATAGTTTCTGATGTGGTTTGTCACAGCCCTGACACAGCACTTCCATCTCAGTCCTGAGGCCTTCACCGCTGCTGCTGCCGCTGCTGCTGCCGCTGCTGCCGCTGCCGCTGCTGCTGCTGCTGCTGCTGCTGCTGCTGCTGCTGCTGCGGCGGCTGCGGCTGCTTTTAGGACAATGCCTACACTTGTTTGCAAATGCTGCCGTTTCGGGAATCCCTGTTGGTAACCACTCAGAGACTGGTTTGATGATGATGTCACGTCTCACTTTAGCCCCAGCATCTATTCTCTGCACACACTGACTGGTTTAGACACAGACTGGTTTAGACATGACCAGAGTGTGTTACAAAGTGTGTTACGATTAAGAGTTCCTTTTATTTGTCCCACAGTGGGAAAATGTCAGTGTTGCATCACAAGTTACAGAACAGTAGGAATAACGAGCACACAGCACAACATAAGTGAACAATAGCTCTATACTAATTAAAATAAAACAACATCTCTAAGTCTAGCATCAAACGACAAGTATAAAATCTCTATCTTGGACTTAATAATAATAATAATAAATAATTACGTGCTTCAAACGGCCCTCGCCGCACCGCGCAAAGGAGGTGGCGCTGCCCCGCAATGATTTGCTCCCGTAGCCATAGAACAATGTTTGTGCAATTGTAATGAATATGATCAGTTGGTTTGGCTCCTCATGTAAAACTTTGGCTCAGTCTGTAGGGGGCGCTAAAGAGCCAATGTAATATTTCACACCTTCAGGTGACCTAGGCCCAGGAGTAGAAGAACCGAGTTAAGTGTAGTAAAGTAAAGTAAACAAATCAGACTTTGTGTAAACAGGAGCACATGTATAATCTGTGAGTCTGTCCATATATATACAGTCTCCATTGGATGACCATGTGACTAATCAAAATTATATGAACAAATATTGATGGTATATGTGTTGAGATGATGTGGAGCGATTTTCAGTCAAATCGATGAAACAGCCGAGGCTGGTTTTAAGTTTGTGCGAGATGTACATTTGCCATTAACACAGAATAGGGAGCGTATTATGTCGCCAGGGCAACAGGGTAAAAAATAAGTCTTGGTTGTCATTGACTTTTTGAATCAAGAGGTCAAAACAGAATTGTGTGCAAAATTTCAAAGATTTTGTAAAAACTAATTGTGATGATCCCCATGTAAAACTTGACATGGTCTGTAGGGGGCGCAATACACGCTCGTCATCACCTCGACATTGTGAGGTCACCTACCCCTCCATAGGACAGTACAAACCTACATTTCCTAACGTCCTTTTCCGTCTCGTGCTGAGTGACTGGATGGAAACAGACGTGTTCCTTTTGCCGGTGTCTGATCTTGTTGTCGTGGGAACTTCCATTTGTCGGGATTTAGTTGTTAATGTGTCATTTTTAGACTCACAAGTGTGTTTCTGCCCCGTAGTGTTCCTCTGCTTTAGGGCTCTTTGTTTCCATTCATAAAAACACACATATGGGAAGTGCACTGGAACAACTATGCACATACATTAGAGTTTCACTTTTCAGCCCGAGCCCGACCCCGAGCCCGGCCCGAACTCCGTTGATGACAAAAAGTTAATATATTTATAACACCGTAACCGGCGTGTCCTACAGCCGCAGCAAGCCGTGAACGCATATCCCTGTTTTTCCTGTTGAATGCTCTGGTCAACAGCGAACACACGGAACATTAATAGAAATAGATCTGGTGGACGTACAAAACACATTCAGCAGTGGCTAAACTTTGGAAGGTGAGTGCGCACAACAAGGAAATCAGATGTGTCGGGTTCTGTCGGGCTCGGGCCTATTATACAGCCTTAATTGGTCGGGCTTGATTTTTCTGGCCCGAACGAAACTCTAACATACATACACACACATGCATGCACATACAATACAATACAATACAATTTATTCTTGTATAGCCCTAGGTCACAACAGAAGTCATCTCAGAGGACTTAACAAAACCATTGAAATCACCAACACAGGTCAGAGAATCAACAGTTAAAACACATGAAGAATACAGTATAAAGCACAAACAGAAGAAAATGTCCATACATGTTGTAGAATGCTAAAGTGTCCTGATCATCACCAATCCTTTCTGTTGGACACTAACTGTCCAACAAGACCCTCCTGCATCGACAAGGAAAAACTCTTAAAAAACCCAGTGGGAAAAAGTGAGAAACCTTGGAGGAGAACTAGGGAAACCCACAGGGAGGGAGACCCATATGAGAAAGGGATCCGCTCCTCCGGACGGACAGACTAATGATCTAGGACCTAAGCTAGCTACAGAACGTGGACCAGTGGACGCTGAACGTGGACAGGTCCGGTGCAGGACCGAAGCACTCCCAGGCGGGTCGGGCGGGGCAGTCCGCAGGTGTAGATGGAAGAGGCCAGGCTCAGAGATCCCGTCATCGTACCATGAAACAGACAATGGGACAACGGGTGAATAGCAATGAACAAACTACAGTCAGAATCCTAAAAATGCTAAACAGATAAAGTAGGAAGGAGGAGAGGATAGTGCTCAAGTTACCATACTTCTCCCAGCAAACTGACTCCCTATGCAGCTTGACTAACACTCTGAGGAGTTTAACCTTCTCCGAGTCTTACCTTCCTAGCCATATGCTAAACTAAAGAGGACTGTTTTAAACCTAGCCTTGAATAAAGAATAACATACAGCATAATATATAACATAATATACAACATAACACAATACATTATTGAATAATATATAACATAATATATAACATAATACAGCATATATATATAATATATACACTACATATTATATATTACCTAATTATATGCTAAATTAAAGTAAAGTGCTTTAAGCCTGGCCTTGAATGTGGAGACCGTATCTGCTTCCTTAACATAAATGGGAAGCTGATTCCACAGTAAAGGAGCTTGGTAGCTAAATGCTCTGCCACCAACAGTGACCTTTAGGACCTTAGGGACCACCAGACGTCTGGCGTTTTGTGAGCGCAACGCTCGACTTGGTTGATACGACACTAACGTGTCTTGGAGATAAGAAGGAGCCAAGCCATTTATGGCTTTATATGTTAAGAGTAGGATTTTAAACTTTATTCTGTACTCCACAGGGAGCCAGTGGAGTGATTTTAACACCGGAGTTATGTGCTCCCTCCTTTTGGTACCTGTTAAGATCCTAGCTGCTGTATTCTGAACGAGCTGGAAGCTCTTCAAAGAGGCTTTAGGGCACGCTGCCAGTAAAGCGTTACAGTAGTCGAGCCTTGAGGTGACAAACGCGTGAATGAGTTTTTCCGCGTCACTTTTAGGAAGGAAATTCCTAATTTTAGCGATGTTCCGTAAGTGGAAGTACGCCGTTTTAGTTGCTTGGCTTATATAAGCCTTGAAGGAGAGTTCTTGGTCAAAAATGACTCCAAGATTCCTCACAGTGTTACTGGGTATTATACTGACATTATCGAGAGTAACCATCTGGTTAGTGAGGGAGTCACGCAGGCGCTTCGGACCGAGTAGGATCACTTCTGTCTTCTCCGGGTTGAGAAGTAGAAAGTTAAGAGTCATCCACATTTTAAGGTCCTTTATGCAGGCACTGAGCTTTTCTAGCTGATCTGTCTGATTAGGCTTCATCGACAGATAAAGCTGTGTGTCATCTGCATAGCAGTGGAAATTAATTCCATGCTTTTTAATAATATTTCCCAGTGGCAGCATGTAGAGAGTAAAAAGAATCGGTCCGAGTACCGAACCCTGCGGCACACCGAATTCCACTCCAGAATAAGGCGACGAGTCCTGATTCACATTGACGAAGTGATATCGATCTGATAAATAGGATTTAAACCAGCCAAGGGCTGTTCCTCTAAGACCTATATCACATTCTAGCCTCTGCAGTAGAATGCTGTGGTCTATTGTGTCAAATGCAGCACTAAGGTCCAGTAGGACCAGCACTGACACTTGTCCATTATCGGCAGCTAGTAGTAAGTCATTTGTGACTTTGACTAGTGCCGTTTCAGTGCTATGATGAGCTCTGAATCCTGATTGAAAGACTTCAAACATATCATTTTCCTGCAGGTGGCAGCGGAGCTGCTCAGCTATAAGTTTTTCCAGGATTTTAGATATAAAAGTGAGGTTCGAGATCGGTCTGTAGTTTGTAAGTATTTCTGGGTCCAGGTTTGTTTTCTTCAGAAGGGGTTTGATTACCGCGGTTTTAAAAGCTTGTGGGACATAGCCACATTGTATGGATGCGTTTATTATATTTACGATAGGCTCAATTATCAAAGGAAGTATGTCTTTGAAGAGCCATGTCGGGACTGCGTCTAACATGCAAGTTGAGGCTTTTGAGGATGTGACCACAGAGATCACCTCTGCTTGGCTCACAGCCATGAATTTATTAAGGCCCACTGAAGAGTCTAAGTGGGAAGTCACGTATGCCGCTTCAACCTGTCCACCACTAACAGCAGGAGCAACCTCCTCCAGCTTGTCACGGATGGATGTAATTTTATTATTAAAGAAGTGGAGAAAGTCGACACTGCTCAGTGAGCTTGGAATTTTAGGCTCGATTGCGCTATGGCAGTTTGTGAGCCGACTCCATCGGCTCTCTCAGCAGCTCTCTCAGCGGCTCTCTCAGTGGGGCCTTCTTCCCCGCCCGGCCGCGCGGGGGCGCAGCCGGACAGAGCGTCCCAGCGATTGTAAATGCTAACAGGAGGAGGCCCAATGGGGAAACTACCAACAACACGTCGCCCTCTCCGAACAGTCACAAAGCCATCACTATCCTGGTCTTGTCCCAGCTGCGGAGGACGGGCTGGGAGGCTAGGCTCGCTAGTTCTCCTCTGCCTTTCCCTAAAGCTGCGCTCCGCTGTCCCTGAGGATACGGCCTGGCTGTAGCTAATGCTAGCGCTAGCTCGAGACTCCAGTGCTCGGAGACGCAGCTCTAACTCACTGACCCTGGATTCCAGAGCTACGACTACACTACACTTCACACATCTATCACTACCCTCAGAGAAGGATCCAGGGTTTAGACTCGCCATATGGCAACTCGAGCAGTAAAGGATTGAGGGAGAGACAGCAGCCGCCATAGTAGCGAGATAGCGGCTAGGCTAGGCTAAGCTAGGCTAGGCTAAGCTAGTACGGATCCGGGCCCGCACAACAGACTCCGAGACCAGACAAACAACCGCTACCTAAACCTCAGCTACAGTACAGCTGACTCGGAGTGCTTACACAGTTAGCTTGGTGTACAATACGTGGATTTGTAATGTGTTTGTTAGTGCAAACAGAGAGCAGAGTGATAGCAGTCAAGAAACACGCTCACCGGATACAGGAAGTCACGTCACATACACACACACACACACACAGACACACAAATATACACACTTACTCTCACAAACACACACATACACACACATATACACAAGCATACATACATACACACACACATTTACACGTGCACAAACACACATACATACACACACACGCATTTACATACACACACAAACAATGCATACAGACGCGCACACACACACACACACACAGGAAGTATCACTTTCTTTCCTCCACTTGCCCTTTTCCAGTACTTTTATGTTTCAACAGTTTTTAATTTTTTTAACAAACCACATCCTCAGTTTTCCCGTTTTTATTTTCTTGTTTTTATTTTCCTGTTTTTATTCTCCCACCGTGACAAACCCATCCGAACCACACTGACACATGTTTAACTTAGTGTGTGTGTTGTGTGCAGCACTTGGTCCAGTGGGACGCATCAGACCCGGAGAGCCTTCTGCAGCTGGTGAAGGAGCTGATCCAACAGTACCATCAGTACCAGTGGCAGCGTCTGCGGCAGAGCTCCCGGCTTCTGTTCGAGTACGACAGCCTCCTGGAGGACCCCGACTACGCCCGCAGCATCGAGATCTACGCCGGCCGCAAGAACACCTGGGTCTGTGTTCATGTGTTCATGTGGGCTTTCAGAACAAGAACACCTGGGTCTGTGTTCATGTGGGCTTTCAGAACAAGAACACCTGGGTCTGTGTTCATGTGGGCTTTCAGAACAAGAACATCTGGGTCTGTGTTCATGTGTTCATGTGGGCTTTCAGAACAAGAACACCTGGATCTGTGTTCATGTGGGCTTTCAGAACAAGAACACCTGGGTCTGTGTTCATGTGGGCTTTCAGAACAAGAACATCTGGGTCTGTGTTCATGTGTTCATGTGGGCTTTCAGAACAAGAACACCTGGATCTGTGTTCATGTGGGCTTTCAGAACAAGAACACCTGGGTCTGTGTTCATGTGTTCATGTGGGCTTTCAGAACAAGAACACCTGGGTCTGTGTTCATGTGGGCTTTCAGAACAAGAACACCTGGGTCTGTGTTCATGTGTTCATGTGGGCTTTCAGAACAAGAACATCTGGGTCTGTGTTCATGTGGGCTTTCAGAACAAGAACATCTGGGTCTGTGTTCATGTGTTCATGTGGGCTTTCAGAACAAGAACACCTGGGTCTGTGTTCATGTGGGCTTTCAGAACAAGAACACCTGGGTCTGTGTTCATGTGTTCATGTGGGCTTTCAGAACAAGAACACCTGGGTCTGTGTTCTGTGTTCATGTGTTCATGTGGGCTTTCAGAACAAGAACACCTGGGTCTGTGTTCATGTGTTCATGTGGGCTTTCAGAACAAGAACACCTGGGTCTGTGTTCATGTGGGCTTTCAGAACAAGAACACCTGGGTCTGTGTTCATGTGTTCATGTGGGCTTTCAGAACAAGAACATCTGGGTCTGTGTTCAGGTGGGCTTTCAGAACAAGAACATCTGGGTCTGTGTTCATGTGTTCATGTGGGCTTTCAGAACAAGAACACCTGGGTCTGTGTTCATGTGGGCTTTCAGAACAAGAACACCTGGGTCTGTGTTCATGTGTTCATGTGGGCTTTCAGAACAAGAACACCTGGGTCTGTGTTCTGTGTTCATGTGTTCATGGTGGGCTTTCAGAACAAGAACACCTGGGTCTGTGTTCATGTGTTCATGTGGGCTTTCAGAACAAGAACACCTGGGTCTGTGTTCATGTGGGCTTTCAGAACAAGAACACCTGGGTCTGTGTTCATGTGTTCATGTGGGCTTTCAGAACAAGAACACCTGGGTCTGTGTTCACGTGTTCATGTGCTCTCTCTCTCTTCTCCAGGCCGCTCTACCTCTACTCACATTCAAGTCTGCGGAACCTCTGGATTTTTCCTTTCTCTCTCTGTCTCTGTCTCTGTCTCTCTGTGTGTAATAAGAAAACATGAACGTTGTTGAGTGACATTTGTGGGACAGGTGTGATTTTTAATCCAGTGCAACTTCAAAATTCAAATTCTTTCTATGAATCGGGGCTTGCGGTTTATAATCCGGTGAGGCTTATAGTCCGGAAAATACGGTAAAATAATTCACCATGAAGAGGAAGAGCATCATTACCCAGAATGCTCCGAGCCATGTAACCTGAATGAATACTTTGTTTCGAGAACAAAGAACAACAACAAAACCACCACAGAACAGAAAAAGACACTGCTATTATACAAATATACAGTATTTTTTGTTTTATTAACACAAATCCAGCTGGAAAAGGACCAGGAACCAGGGAACCAGGGACCAAGGACCAGGTCTGAGTCTGCGGAGCTCCCAGTGTCTTAGAACTCAAATGTACAATCCTCATTAGTGACTTTTTTATGTTTTATGGGGGGGATAGACCACATGGTATTGGACCATAGGGAGAGACCACATAGTATTGGACCATAGGGAGAGACCACATGGTATTGGGCCATAGGGAGAGACCACATGGTATTGGACCATAGAGAGACCACATGGTATTGGACCATAGAGAGAGACCACATGGTATTGGACCATAGGGAGAGACCACATGGTATTGGACCATAGAGAGACCACATGGTATTGGACCATAGAGAGACCACATGGTATTGGACCATAGAGACCACATGGTATTGGATCATAGAGAGACCACATGGTATTGGACCATAGAGAGACCACATGGTATTGGACCATAGAGAGACCACATGGTATTGGACCATAGAGAGACCACATGGTATTGGACCATAGAGAGACCACATGGTATTGGACCATAGAGAGACCACATGGTATTGGACCATAGAGAGACCACATGGTATTGGACCATAGAGAGACCACATGGTATTGGACCATAGAGAGACCACATGGTATTGGACCATAGAGAGACCACATGGTATTGGACCATGGGGGGAGACCACATGGTATTGGACCATAGAGAGACCACATGGTATTGGACCATAGAGAGACCACATGGAATTGGACCATAGAGAGACCACATGGTATTGGACCATAGAGAGACCACATGGAATTGGACCATAGAGAGACCACATGGTATTGGACCATAGAGAGACCACATGGTATTGGATCATAGAGAGACCACATGGTATTGGATCATAGAGAGACCACATGGTATTGGACCATAGAGAGACCACATGGTATTGGACCATAGAGAGACCACATGGTATTGGACCATAGAGAGACCACATGGTATTGGACCATAGAGAGACCACATGGTATTGGACCATAGAGAGACCACATGGTATTGGACCATAGAGAGACCACATGGTATTGGACCATAGAGAGACCACATGGTATTGGACCATAGAGAGACCACATGGTATTGGACCATAGAGAGACCACATGGTATTGGACCATGGGGGGAGACCACATGGTATTGGACCATGGGGGGAGACCACATGGTATTGGACTATAGGGAGAGACCACATGGTATTGGACCATAGGGAGAGACCACATGGTATTGGACCATAGGGAGAGACCACATGGTATTGGACCATAGGGAGAGACCACATGGTATTGGACCATGGGGGGAGACCACATGGTATTGGACCATGGGGAGAGACCAGTGTAGTAGACTGTAGTGTCCAGGATTAGACACTGAAAATGTGTCGATGTAATGGGTGTGAAATTGCGACACCGCGGTTGAACTGGTCTCTGGTTAAAAATCTGTTGAGGTTAAAGAAAGCTCAGCACTTCAACATGTTGTGATATTTCACGTATTTGGCTTCTCCTGAACTCTCCACACACCACAAAGCCACTGTCATGATGCAAACATATAATTGAAGCAAAGCAGGACAGGGCCTGGTTAGTACTGTGATGGGAGACCTCTCGGGCGGCTGCGGCTGCAATATGTCAAACTGTGGTTGTGTCCTTAGGCAAGACACTTCCCCCACATTAGAATAGTTTGGTGTGTGTGTGAATGGTTGGTGGTGGTGGGAGGGGTTGATGGCGCATATTAGTCGCCTTGCTTCTGTCAGTGTGCCTCAGGGCAGCTGTGGCTTGTGAAGAGACTTTGAGTGTCCTAAAAAGTGCTAAAAACCAATGCTTTATAATTATTGATCTACGACAGATTGAAAAGTATAGTTTAATCTGCCTGAGCCTTGGCTCTCTGTATCCAGTCAATTATCATCAGGGGTGCAAACTTTTTAGTAAGTGGGCCACTTTAGTTTCACCAGACCAGGGCCCAACTTCACAGACTGAAAAACTGTCTTGACTGGCATCGGGCTGTTCTGAACTTTAAAATTATGTATAACAGAGCTGAAGTTGGCTTAATTACACATGTTTACCATCTCACCAGCTACATTAGCATCATAAAGGGAAGTTTGGGTAACACTTTATAATAACCACACCTTATTTAGGCTTAATAAATGTTTAAATAACACTTAATCATGAACAATTCATTAATTAAGTGTGACCAACACTTAATAACTACTTAACTACTACAGTTTATAACCCTTACCTTAACCTAACCTTATTAAGTATTGGTCACACTTAATTAATGAATTGTTCATGATTAAGTGTTATTTCAAAATGTATTAAGCCTAAATAATGTGTAGTTATTATAAAGTGTATTCAAAGTTTTGATTGTGTCACAGTTTTCAAAAATAAAGTCACAGACTGAACTCCAGGCGTACTGAGCTTAAGAACGAGGTATGACAGGTCTATGTTGTCAGAGCTGAAGTTGGATGGATGACACAGTGAACTTGTGTCTATAATCTCAGACTACTTTAGCCTTTAGCAAGACAGAGGGCCACAACACATGACACTGAGGGCCACAACTGACCCCCGGGCCTGAGTTTGGACACTCTGCTCTACATCTGCAAAATGAAACTAGTACGATGGTGTGGTAAGACCAGGCTAAATTTAACCAGTAAAGCATTGTTTTTATGTTTTTTTTTATCCAGACTGGAGAGTTTTCTGCCCGATTCCTCCTAAAACTTCCAGTGGACTTCAGCAACATCCCCGTCTATCTTCTAAAGGTACAATACTAACATTTGTATCTGTTTTTATTATTATTATTATTGGATATGTCCCAAATATGGATTCTAAAGGACTTTTTAAAGTGCTGTGTTGATTCTAAAGGACTTTTTAAAGTGCTGTTGATTCTAAAGGACTTTTTAATGTGCCGTGTTGATTCTAAAGGACTTTTTAATGTGCTGTTGATTCTAAAGGACTTTTTAATGTGCCGTGTTGATTCTAAAGGACTTTTTAATGTGCCGTGTTGATTCTAAAGGACTTTTTAATGTGCTGTTGATTCTAAAGGACTTTTTAATGTGCTGTTGATTCTAAAGGACTTTTTAATGTGCCGTGTTGATTCTAAAGGACTTTTTAATGTGCTGTTGATTCTAAAGGACTTTTTAAAGTGCCGTGTTGATTCTAAAGGACTTTTTAATGTGCTGTTGATTCTAAAGAACTTTTTAAAGTGCCGTGTTGATTCTAAAGGACTTTTTAATGTGCTGTTGATTCTAAAGGACTTTTTAATGTGCTGTTGATTCTAAAGGACTTTTTAATGTGCTGTTGATTATAAAGGACTTTTTAATGTGCCGTGTTGATTCTAAAGGACTTTTTAAAGTGCCGTGTTGATTCTAAAGGACTTTTTAAAGTGCCGTGTTGATTCTAAAGGACTTTTTAAAGTGCCGTGTTGATTCTAAAGGACTTTTTAAAGTGCTGTGTTGATTCTAAAGGACTTTTTTTAAAGTGCTGTGTTGATTCTAAAGGACTTTTTTTAAAGTGCTGTGTTGATTCTAAATGACTTTTTTTAAAGTGCCGTGTTGATTCTAAAGGACTTTTTAATGTGCTGTTGATTCTAAAGGACTTTTTAATGTGCCGTGTTGATTCTAAAGGACTTTTTAATGTGCCGTGTTGATTCTAAAGGACTTTTTAATGTGCCGTGTTGATTCTAAAGGACTTTTTAATGTGCCGTGTTGATTCTAAAGGACTTTTTAATGTGCCGTGTTGATTCTAAAGGACTTTTTAATGTGCTGTTGATTCTAAAGGACTTTTTAATGTGCTGTTGATTCTAAAGGACTTTTTAATGTGCTGTTGATTCTAAAGGACTTTTTAATCTGCTGTTGATTCTAAAGGACTTTTTAATGTGCCGTGTTGATTCTAAAGGACTTTTTAAAGTGCCGTGTTGATTCTAAAGGACTTTTTAAAGTGCCGTGTTGATTCTAAAGGACTTTTTAAATGCTGGCCTCAGTCTTGGGGGCTGTGAGTTGACTAATCAACGAGTTGTCACTCTGGATCTACTCTGAGCCGTGTGGAGTCTGCAGGCGGATTAACTCGTCCTCTCTTCTCTCGCTCACTCCGTCTGCCTCTCTCGGCCGCATTAGTAACTGCCTTCACCGCTCGCTCTCTCTCTCTCTCCCTCCCTCCCTCTCTCTCTCTCCCCCCCTCCCCTCTCTCCCCCGTCCCTCGGTGGCGTGCCGTGGGCCTTGGTGGCCTTTCTCAGCCTCTGCTTCTGTTTGTGAAATAAAATGATGGTAAACATATGTTGAACGGCACAGTCCATCAGTCTCACATCAGCTTTTGTTTCCCAGTGTTTGTTTTAGACACATTCAACACAAGTTACAGCATGTTTTTCTATTTTTACAAGTGGGTCTGAGCGATTTGTGTATGTTTGATCAGCTTCATATCTATAGATGTTTAACATTATTGACTGGAAAACATCTCTTGGAGAAAATATAAAAATAAGTAAAATACTGCTTAAAATAATAAAAATTATCCACCAGTAGAACAATAAAATATGACTCATGATTTCTGAAAATAATAGAATAAAACTAGTCCCAATTGACTTGATTCTAGATTAAAAACAGGAAAAATGAAACTCTGGATAACCCCTCTGCCTTTACCCGTTCAAAACATTTACGCACACACACACACATACTGTATACACGCACACACACATACTGTATACACGCACACACACATACTGTATACACGCACACACACACTGTATACACGCGCACACACACTGTATACACGCACACACACATACTTTATACACGCACGCACGCGCACACACACATACTTTATACACACACATACACACACACACACACATACGCACACACACATACTTTATACACGCACGCACACACACATACTGTATACACGCACGCACACATACTGTATACACGCACGCACACATACTGTATACACGCACGCACACATACTGTATACACGCACACACACATACTGTATACACGCACGCACACACACCTGTGAAATGAAATAATCCATGTCATATTTAGTGATTTTACGAGAGGAGAAATTTGGGAATTGGACATAGGACATTCCTGTCTGACTGATCATATCATAAGTGCCCACACACAGACGCACACACAGACGCACACACAGACGCACACACAGACGCACACACACGCACACACAGCTCGCAGTGCGGTGCTGTATTTGGCAGCCAGGTTATACATAGTGTGTCCCTGAGAGGACGGAGGAAGACAGCTGGAGCAAAAGAGAGGAAGGTAATGAACATCAGCTACCAGAGGTGAATGCTGCATGTGAAGCCTTTCTAGACCAGTACAAGTGTCTGTATGACAACAACTGCCCAGAACCAATAAGGAAAGTGAAAGAAACACTTAAACCATGGCTGACAAGAGGACTGCTAAATGCATGTGCCAAGAAGAACAAGTTATATGAAGAGTCAATTAGATTTAGAACACAAGAAAGTAATAATAAATACAAAACTTATAAAAACAAATTGACAAGCATATTAAGGAAGGCAGAAAAAGATTATAATTCTAAAGCATTATTAGAAAGTCAGAATGATATGAAAGCAACATGGAAGATATTAAAACAAGTTATGGAAAAGAAGAAACCGAAGTCGACTATACCAAATTACTTACTAAATGATGAAAATAATCAAATAGATGTTAAAGATATGGCCAACGAGCTTAACTCGTACTTTGTAAATATAGGGCCAAAGCTTGCTGAAAAAATTCAACAACCGGGAAATACATATTTAAAAACACAAGGCAGTAAAATTTGTCACTCCATATATTTGGAAGAAGTCACTGAACCAGAAATTTTAAGAACAGTTGCAGAGTTTAAAAATAAGACATCGACAGATAGTGATGGGATAGATATGGCTATCATTAAAAAGACCATAGACTGCATAACCAAACCACTTTGCCATATTTTTAACCTGTCTTTCACTTCTGGACTTTTTCCTGATAGATTAAAAACATCAAAAGTAATTCCTGTATTCAAAACAGGGGACAAGCATTGTCTAGCAAATTACAGACCCATTTCTTTAATTTCACAGGTTGCAAAAATTATTGAAAAACTTTTTGTTCACAGATTAGATTCCTTTATAGAAAAAAACATGTTGATTAATGAGAACCAATTTGGCTTCAGGAAAAAACGATCCACGGCTTTAGCACTACTGCAAATCACAGAGCACATAACAGCAGCACTAGAAAATAAACAAAGCACATTGGCAGTATTTGTTGACTTAAAAAAGGCATTCGACACAATTAATCACAGTATATTAATAAAAAAACTACAGTGGTATGGCATAAGAGGAGGGGTGGTAAATTGGGTTGAGAGCTATTTAGAAAATAGACAACAGTTTGTACAGTTTGCTGGCAACATTTCTAACAAACTAAATATTCAGTGTGGAATTCCCCAAGGTTCCATTCTCGGGCCAAAACTCTTTATTTTATATATCAATGACTTATGTTCTGTCTCATCAAAACTTAAATCAGTCTTATTTGCAGATGACACCATTTTTTTTCTATCAGGAGATAATATAAAAAAATTAACAAGGACGACGGAAGAGGAAATGATCAAAATAAAAACATGGTTCGATGAGAATAAATTATCATTAAATATAAGCAAAACGAAATTCATGGTGTTTTCAAACAATAACAGTAACACAGACGTCCAGGTGTCAATAAATAGCACAAAAATTGAAAGAGTACAAGAAATAACATTTTTGGGAGTGACAATGGATGAGAAATTAAATTGGAAATCCCATGTAAACCAGGTAAAAAGAAAAATATCAAAACATATCTCGGTACTGCACAAAGTGAAACATTCACTTGATCATAAAGCCCTAAGGCTCCTGTACAGTACCTTGATATTGCCCCATTTCACCGACTGTGTAGAAGTCTGGGGAAACACATACAAACACACCATACATCCTCTAATCCTCTTACAAAAAAAAGCAGTGAGAATCATTCATAAAGTGGACTCAAGAGAACACACAAACAACCTATTCATACAATCAAAAGGAGGATCTGATCAAACTACAGTCACTCATTGTGATGTACAAAGCCAGAGACTCTCTGCTGCCAGCAACTGTACAACAGCTCTACAGCAGCTCTACAGCAGCTCTACAGCAGCTCTACAGCAGCTCTACAGCAGCTCTACAGCAGCTCTACAGCAGCTCTACAGCAGCTCTACAGCAGCTGTACAACAGCTCTACAGCAGCTGTACAACAGCTCTACAGCAGCTGTACAACAGCTCTACAGCAGCTCTACAGCAGCTCTACAACAGCTCTACAGCAGCTGTACAACAGCTCTACAGCAGCTCTACAGCAGCTCTACAGCAGCTCTACAGCAGCTGTACAACAGCTCTACAGCAGCTGTACAACAGCTCTACAGCAGCTCTACAGCAGCTCTACAGCAGCTCTACAGCAGCTCTACAACAGCTCTACAGCAGCTGTACAACAGCTCTACAGCAGCTCTACAGCAGCTCTACAGCAGCTGTACAACAGCTCTTCTCTCTCAATATCAACCAGGACAGTAGAAGGAAGTTACACTTCTCTGTCCCTTTTGCCAGAACCACCCAGAAACACATGGGAATATCAGTGGTCGGAGTAAAACTATGGAATCAACTTGACTATGAATTAAAAAAATCCGCAAACATCCACATGTTTAAGAAAAAAATCAAAGCAACAACAGTGAAATCGTACGAAATGAATGATTAGAAAAAAAAACAATAAAAAACAAAGAAT